CGCATATACGTACAAACTACACATACCAGTACGTCGTCACATTCATTTAGCATAGACTCAGTCGTAATTCATTTTTCATAAAGTCAGGTAATTCAAGAATAAACAAGTTCATATAAAACACGGCAAGAGACATGATGTTTTACACCGGGACATGAACTTGTACTTGCCAAGTGGAAAATTGCTATCATCTTGCATACACTTAATAAGGAGTCAAGCAAAAGTTAACATACACACATTTTTTTACAATAATTCACCTGCGAATATATGATATCAGATCATATAGGTGATAACACGCGTCTCAGTCAAGCACATCATCAACATCAAACTTAGAATGCGAATGTCATATTTATGAATGACTTATTCTATCTGAGAGGTAGATTACATAGATTAATACCATTTATTCTTTTTCAGTAGGATTAGTTTATTACGATAACTATATTGATATACAAATGATGTTTGTACAAAATGCAGCAAGAAGCATGATCTTTTAACACCGAAATTCGATATTATTGAGCTATAAAGAGTCTTGATTTGATTCTCGATTTATTTCAATAACAAACTGATGTCGTGAAAATCAATTATCAAATTATGAAGATTATATCGTGGAACCTTCAATCAACGTATCCGAGTACAGAGACCATCAAATAACTGAAATCAGTACGGACTAAGTCATAAATGTTCTGAATTTGGATTTAATATATTTTAACTATTATTGTTGGAAAAACAGTTCGCACAACCTACTTCAAATGTAATAAAAATATAATGCAATAGAAGCACCGGTTCAAACAATGTACCACCGTCTACTGTTTCTGGAGCCGTGGGATTGTGTGGCGCTCCTGGATCCATTAGACTTTTCAAGGCTTCACAAAATGTGAGACACTTGATATCAAAAATCGAAGTAGTTGAGCTGTGAGCCCAACCACGCAAAAAGAGAATCGCTGTTTTCGTCTGGATACGATCTCCATGAGATTCAAAACCCAGTTCTTTCCCAATAGGTACAGGTCGGCCTGAAGTCGGCATTTTCTCTGCAAGGAGCTACTCGGTCGTCTATTTGCGGGAACACGGTTTTAGTACATCTCTGCCAACCAAAAGATAAACCCTTTCGGCGCGCTTATAAAGCTTCCACTTCCAGTATCGCCTCGTCCAGCCGTCGCGATACCAAGTCGTGCCGACTTGAAATTGAATTCGGAATTCAATTCCACATTCACCGTCTCTTCATACAAAGACGGATGCACACTGAAGACTTCCATTTTTATCCACACCAGTGCGGAGGCCTTCCATAAAGACGGTCACTGTGACCGCCGCCGGAAGAGGATCTGCTGCCATCCCGGCAATTCGAGTGCGCATCTCTTGGACAAAGTCCACCAATTCCTTGTTGCCCGGTCGGGCGGCACGGATATACCTCATTAGGCGGCGAGAACACTCGTGAGAGCTGCAACCAGGAGGGAAACGCAGCTTCGACCGAGGTGCTGCACGTCAGTGCCCATTCTCGCGCTCGACCACCGAGCTTTGAGATGGCTAGCGCTATGCGGTTTTGCTCGGTCTGGAGCATGGCGGATGCGATGGCCATCTCCACCTCCCTCACCCAGAGCAGGAGATTCTCTCCATCCTTCCCCTCAAAGACCTTAAAGCTCACCATGAGCGGCTTAGGGCGAAGAAAATCATCCGTCACCGACGGTGGCGTCATATACGCATACGATGCAGACATCTTCTGCTGCAGGTGCTCTAGCAGCGCGTTTTTGTAACTTGAAAACGCCTCTAGCCGCGCACCGATTGCCTCGGGACCTTGCACCACAAGGTGTTGCACGCCCTCAGGGCCAAGCAAGGGCATCAGCTTGTCAAGCCCGTCATGTATGCTCTGGGGCAACACGTCAGTGCGGATTTTTGTGCGCAACTTTCTAGTTTTAAGACCCCAAGTGCGACGCACTGTTGCTTCGCTTGGACCATGGCCGATTTCATGGTCATCTCAACTTTTCTCGTTCAACGAGAGATATTAGGGACATACCGGCTCTCAAAAAGATAATCGTCGACGCTCAAAAACCAGCAGCCTCACGCTGGGTGGCTTGTGTTTTTCTCATCTGCGCTCGCCTCAGATTTGTATGCTTTTAGATAATCAATGCTTCCGCGCGTGCGAGATCCTCAACTGCCCTTTGGTCGCCAGTACTCTGATCCGACTGGGGCCAACGATAAATAACGCTTACTAAGCTGGTTCCTTGCCCAGGGACAGGTACGCAAGCAAGTCTAATTTATTCCTTAATGAAGACACAGTCCTTTTATAACTCGGTCATGGGGATGATACAAGTGCAACGAGGTTACCGTGCACGTTGCTCAGAGAAAGCTTTGACTCAATAGTCCATGTTAATGAACGCACAGACGTCAATCTCGTATATCAGCAGCGAAACCTATGGTCTTGTGAGTATGTAGCGGGGTTACACGA